CTCTCTCTCTCTCTCTCTCTCTCTCTCTCTCTCTCTCTCTCTCTCTCTCTCTCTTTCTCTCCTTCTCTCCCTCCCTCTTGCCAACTAGGTTACCCCTGCAACAGTTTTTTCCCCTAATTGTATTTTGCCACCGACAACTCTTTTAAGGACAGGTACAGCTAAATTAGAGTCATTACAGTGAAACTTGAGGACAAAATTGTCAGTTGAACCACATCACCCAGAATCTGCAGGGCCTGAAGCCTCAGTCATTGGACTCCAAGTAGCTTCTTTGTGTTTGTCTCTCTCCCACAGGGCCCCCCAGTCCCCCACCGTGCACCCTCCGAAAACACAAGAACAATCGAAAGCCTCGGACACCCTTTACAACGGCACAGCTGCTGGCCTTAGAACGGAAATTCCGGCAGAAACAGTACCTGTCCATCGCGGAGCGAGCGGAGTTCTCCAGCTCCCTGAGCCTCACGGAGACACAGGTCAAGATTTGGTTTCAGAATCGAAGGGCGAAAGCCAAGAGACTGCAGGAAGCTGAGTTAGAGAAACTGAAGCTAGCGGCCAAGCCCCTTTTGCCTTCTTTTGCCCTGCCCTTCCCGTTGGGGGCCCACCTGCAGGGTTCACCTACTCTGTACGGGGCCTCAAGCACCTTTCCCCGGGGCACCCTGCAGCCCGTGCCGGGGCTTTTTACAACCCCAGTCACCTATGGCATGTACTATCTGTCCTAGGGGGCACTAGTCTGCTTATATAACCCCAAAGACTCGGCCAGCCTGGAGTCCTTCAGACAAGCCTTAGGCCTAAACCTGAAATCTGGATGCCCCGGAAGGGGCTAGAGATGTGGCCTTGATCTGTGTGTCTTGATCTGTGACTGCGAGAAATAATCCCGTAGTGGGTAAAAGTTCTGTGTATGAATTGCTTGAGATTGAAACCATGGCTGGTGTCAGTCTACTGAATAGAGCTCTATCTGGGTATGTGTGGCTTTCTCTCCAGAGACTGGGGAAAGGGGTGGGGGGAAGCTCTAAATCCAAGATTCTAGGTTCCCAGAAGATGAGTCCTGCCCTGGACTTACTCAGAGAAGTTTATGGAGATCTCCTTGGATTTTTTTTTTTTACCCCAGCTTCTGAAGTAACCTAAAAATAGAACCAAGGTACAACAAGTTGGTTAGTAATCTGGAGTGAACACAGTCAAATTCAGGCAGTTAAGGGCCTCTTCCTGATAAATATAAAGGAAGGCAGGCCCCTAGCAGCAGCCTATGGAAGTTATAGGTTTGCTCTTCGATGTAAATCTGTGAAAGTAAGATGTCTTAGGATTGTAAATTCAGATCTCTGCCCGTCTCCACAGCAAAGTGCCCAGAGCAGCAGGTTTTTGTAGCTGTCAAGCCTGTCGATTTTCTTTTTCTTATTTGATTAATAGGAGTTGCATTTGAGGTCAGAAATCTGCTTGGCAGTGCCTCTTACAGATATTTAAAAGATGTATTTTTAAAAATCGTGTGCATATCAGAATTAAGGAAACTGTTTACGGAAAGACAATGTACATAGTTTTTGTACAGTGGCCTTGGATGGACTGGAATAAAATTTCCTATTTTGTACAAAGCAGTCAATAAAATATTCTAAGTTTAATCCATTGGCTTGCTTCTGGCTCATTCCTGCAGAATTTCCCTCTGATACGGAGAGTCTCAAGGAAGGAATTTCTTCTATCATTGATTTGTGCAGCAGGACAAATACCTAAGTTCCTTACCAAAAAAAATTAATAATAATTAAAAGGAAAGATTTTTGTACCTTATGTAGTAGAGAATTTCTTTTTTTCCTAGAGCGTTTTGTAAAAGGTTTTAGTTGCTTAGTGTTAATTTTCAAGGTTTCTTAAAGCAGGATTAAGCGAGAGGTTCTCCAAGCCCAACTCCATTTTTTGGCTCCTCTTTCCTCCACTTCGTTCCTTCAAAAAATGAAATTCGCTAAATAGCAGGAGGGCTTTGGGGAGCATGAAATTCGCTAAAATAACAGGAGGGCTTTGAGAAGCCAAGAGGCCTCCCATCCAGAGATCTAAGCGCGATAAACGTGGGCGTAGGGGCTGAGTCCCAGTACCCCTCCGAGTTGAATCCGATTCTATTTTGGGATGCTCCGCTGTGGAATTTCGATGCCATTGGGCATCATCTGAGGCTCTCGACTCGAGGGATGGAGGGAGTTACAGCAGCGCCCCGGGGCAGAGCTCAATTGGCCGACGCTTTTGCGCGAACCTTTGCCTTCACCCGCCCCCATCCTTTCCCCACCCCCCAGTTCTTTTCAGCGCTTTGTCGGTTGCCCCAGAGCCATCCCGGCGCTGCAGAGGCGGTGCCCGCAGCTGCAGATCTGTGTCGAGGAATCGGGGCTGCATGCAGGTCCTGAGGAACCGTGCCCGACGCGACGCGGAAGGGCAGCTCACCTGAGGGCAGGGCTAGGGCTGAAGCGCATGGATGGGGCTTGCTATGAGCTGAGGATCTCAACCAGGTGAGCTCCCAGCCTATACCCAGACCTGAGCCTCGGTCGGTGGCTGCGGCTCCACGCCACCGGGACCTCTCTTAGCAAATTACGCCATCTACTGGCCCAAAGGCGTTTGGCTGGAGCTGGGGCATAAAAAGTGATGCTGCGATGCTTATCCTCTGGTCCTCGGTAACACGAGAAGGAATGTCTCATCTAAGGTTCTCCAGCGTCACTTGGAATGGTCAGGTAATGTCTGCAGCTATGTACTCTACACTCACAAAACGCTGGGAGAAGGGGGTGGGGGGAAGGAGAAGGGAACTGGCCCTGTGGTTCAGTAGATATCTACTCTCCCTCTTTTTCAATCACTCTAGCAGAGATGGGGAACCTGCGGCCTCGAGGCCACCTGTGGCCCTCTAGGTCCTCAAGTGCGACCCTTTGAATCTAAAACTTAGTCTGGATTCGATCAAAGGGCCCCACTTGAGGACCTAGAGGGCCACAGATGGCTTCCAGGTGGTGAGACACTTAACTAGTTCATTCCAAATCATTTTTATTTAGTAATTGCAAAATATCTGGGAAGCAGCGAAGTGTAGTAAATAGAGAGTTGGGCTCAGAATCGGTAAGACCTGGGTTCAAGCTCTGAATCTGAAACATACTTTGTAACCCTGGACAAGTCACCTAACCTCTCCGTGACCTGAGAAACCTTCTAAGACCATGTCTTGCAGGATGTATGCCCATATGCATTGGTAAAGTCAGTTTCCTTCTTGGGAGTTTCCTGTTCCAAGGAAATCACATGTATGGTACAAAAAAATTGCAAATTAAACAAGAACCTTTTTATTCTTCATCTCCAGTGCTTAGCACTTAGCTCCTTTTGATAAGCTTTTGGACATCTCTAATTGGAAGTTCTACAGGCCCCCATCACCTTACACCTTAACAAAGGCAATATTGCCTGCTCGTTGGTCTCCCTGTCTCAGGTTATCTCCCCACTCCAATTCATCCTCCTCTCAACTGTCAAAGTGATTTTTCCCAAAGTGCAGGTCTGACCATATCACATATACCACCCCTCTGCTCAATAAACTTCAATAGCTTCCTATCACTTTCAGGATCAAATATGTAAAATCTTGTTTGGCATTTAAAGCCTTTCATAACGTGGCTCTCTTCTGCCTTTCCAAGCTTCTTATATCTTACTCCCCCTAGTCTCCACATAGCCTACTATCTACCACTGTTATCCAAACAAGACTGTTGACTTCCATGCATTTTCACTGGTTGTCCCTCATGCCTGAAATTCTCTCCCTCCTCACCTCCACTCCTTGGCTCCTCTCTTTTTTTAAGTTTTTATTTTTTACTTTATTATTTTTAACATTCTTTTCTTTCCAAATTTTGAATCCCAGATTCTCCCTTTCCCTCCCTTCACCCCTCCTTCACCCACTTTGAAAGCAAGCAAAATGATATAAATTAATTATACATGTGAAATCATGCAAAATATTTCCATATTAGCCATATTGCAAAAAAATAATAATAAAGCAAGAAAATTATACTTCAATTTGTACTCTGATTTCATCAGTTCTCTCTCTGGAGGTAGATAGCATTTTTTATTATTATTATGAGTTATTTGCAATTGTCATGGGTCACTGTATTGATCAGAGTAGTTAAGTCTTTCACAGTTGATCATTATTACAACATTGTTGTTACTGTGCACAATGATCTCCAGGTTCTTATCACTTCAGTTTGCATCAGTTCACATAGGTCTTGCCGTGTGTTTTCTGAAACCACCCCCCTCATCATTTCTTATAGCATAATAGTACTTCACAATTATATGCCACAACTTGTTCAGCCATTCCCCAACTGATCAGCATCCCTTCAATTTCCAATTCTTTACCAGTACAAAAAGAGCTACTGTAAGTTACTTTGTACGCATAGGTTCTTTCCTTTTTTCTTTTATCTCTTTGGGTTACAGACTTAGGGGTGGTATTGCTGGGTCAAAGGCTATGCACAGTTTTAAAGACGCTTGGGCATAGTTCTAAATGGTTCTCCAGAATGTTTGGACTAGTTCACAACTCCACCAATAATTTATTAGTATACCTGTTTTTCCTCACCTCCTCCAGTGTTTGCCATTTCTGGTAGGTGTGAGATGATACCTCAGAATTGTTTTAATTTGCATTTTTCTAATCAATAGTGATTTAAAGCATCTTTTCATATGACTACCCATAGCTTTGATTTCTTTTTCTGAAATTTCTGTTCATATCTTTTAACCATTTATCAATTGGGGAATGGCTCTTATTTTTATAAATTTGACTCAGATCCTTACAGATTTGAGAAATGACATCTTTATCAGAGAAACTTGTGGTACAATTTTTTTTCTATTACTCCATTGTCTAAGTTATCTTTCAGCAAAATAAAATTTCCCTGATTATCTCTTTTAATTAGGTCTACTTTTGCTTTTGCTTTGTGTGAGATCATGATTGCTTCCCCTGCCTTTTTCACTTAAGCAGAAGCATAATAGATCTTGCTCCAGCCCTTTATTTTAACTGTGTGTGGTTTTCTGTTTTAAGTATGTCTCTTATAAACAAGATAATGTTAGATTCTGGTTTCAGATCCATTCTGCTATCTGCTTTCATTTTATGGGTGAGTTCATCACATTCATATCCACAGTTAATGATTACGAACTGTGTATTTCCTTTCATTCTATTTTCTTCTGTTTATCCTTCTCTCTCTCTCTTTTTATCCTGTCCCTTCTCAAAAATCTGTTTTGCTTCTGACCACTCCCTCTCTTAATTCGCCCTCCCTTTTATCATCCCACCTCCCATATTTCTTATCCCCTTCCCTTCTTATTTCCCTATTCAGTAAAGACAGATTTCTACACTCAGTTGAGTGTGTGTTTGTATATATGTATATACATACACATATGTATGTATGTGTATATACATATATGTGCACATATATACATATGTGCATATGTGTGTGTATGTGTGTGTGGAGGTGTGTGGAGGTGTGTGGAGCTGTTCTTCCCTCTTTGAATTAATTTTGATAAGAGTGAGGTTTTAGGATTGCCTGCCACTATTTCCCCATTCCCCCCACCACTATAACAGTGTGGACCTTGCACAACCTCTTTCATGTGGGAAAATTTTCTCCATTCTATCTCTCCCTTCCCCCTTCTCCTAGTGCATCCCTCTTTCTCACCCCCTCATTTTTTCTTTCTTTTTTTTGAGATCATCCCAACATAAATGACTCATATTCATGCCCTCTGTCTGTATAGACTCCTTCTAATTGCTCTAATAATGATAAAGTTGCAAATATAATTTTCCCATATAGGAATATAAGCAGTTTAACTTTATTGAGTCTCTTATGATTTGTCTTTTCATATGTACCTTTTTCTTGAGTCTCATGTTTGAATGTCAGATTTTTTTATTCTGCTCTAGTCTTTTCATCAGGAATGCTTGAAAGTCCTCTATTTTATTAAATATCCATTTTTTCTCTTGAAGGTTTACACTCAGTTTTGATGAGAAGTTATTTTTTTATTGCAATTCTAGCTCCTTTGTTTTCCAGAATATCATATTTCAATTCCTCCACTCCTTTAACATGGAAAATGCTAAATCTTATGTGATCCTTACTATGCCTCCATGTTATTTAAACTGTTTCTTTCTGGCTGCTTGCAATATTTCCTCCTTGACCTGGGAGCTCTGGAATTTGGCTATAATATTCCTGGGAGTTTTCATTTTGGGATCTCTTTCAGGAGATAATTGGTGGATTCTTTTAATTTCTATTTTACCCTTTGGATCTAAGATATTGGGGCAGTTTTCCTTTATAATTTCTTGAAATATGATGTCTAGGTTATTTTTTTATCATGGTTTTCAGGTTATCCAGTAATTCTTAAATTATCTCTTGATCTTTCCCTTTTGTTCTGATTCTTCTTTTACAACATAACTAATGTGGAAATATGTTTAATATGATTATACATATATAGCCTATATCAGATTGCTTGCCATCTTGGGGAGGGGGAAGGGGAGGGAGGGGAAAAAATTGAAACTCAAAATCTTATAAAAGTGAATGCTGAAAACTATCTTTACATGTAATTGGAAAAAATAAAATACTATTAAGTGGGGGGAGGAATTATCTCTCAATCTATTTTCTAAGTCAGTTGTTTTTCCAATGAGATATTTCTTTGTTTTTCCAATGAGATATTTCACATTGTCTCCTATTTTTTCATTCTTTTGATTTTGTTTTATTATTTCTTGATGTTTCATGGAGTCATTAGTTTCCTGTTGCCCAATTTTAATTTTCAAGGAAATATTTTCTTCAGTGAGCTTTTGTACCTCTTTCAACAAACTGTTAATTCTCTTTTCATAATTTTCTTGCATCATTCATTTCTTTTTTCCAATTTTTCCTCTACCACTCATTTCTTTCTTTAACTCTTCTAGGAATTCTTGTGGGGCTTGAAGCCAATTATCATTTTCCTTTGAGGCTTTGTTTATAGCTATTTTCACATTGTTGCCTTCTTCTGAATTTATATCTTGGTCTTCCCTACCATTGTAGTAGCTGTTTATGGTAAAGTTCCTTTTTTGCTGTTTGCTCATTTTTCCAGCCCATTTCTTGACTTTGAACATATGTTAAGTTTAGGTTCTGCTCACTTGAGGGTGGGAAGGTACTGTCTCAAACTTCAGGCTTTGTCATGTTGCTGTTTTCAGAGCTAGTTCTGGGGATCTGCAAGTTTTTGGTGCTTCCAAAGTGGTGTGATCTGGAGAGAGGTGTATTCATTGCTCTCTAGTCTCTGCTCCAATCTGTACCCAGGAAGGACCCCTGCTCCCCTGCAGCAGTAAGCTCTAGCACTCCTCTTCGCCTTGAAATTGTGACCAGGTGGTCCCCTGTGGTCCCGCAGCCACAAATGTTGTTGCTCTTTTTTGCCTTGTAACTGTGACTAGGGCCCCTGCTCCCTTGTGATCAACCGTAAGTGTTTCTCTGCCCTGGAACTGCAACTCAGAACTGCTTACAGGCAATAGAGTGGTCTATCAATGCCAGCTGCACCCGGTGCCAGCAGAGGACCCCCTGTAATCTCTTTCTGACCAGTTGTCTGACCCCCTCACTGCCTCTGGGCTGAGAACTCGCAAAGCTGCTGCTGCAGCCACCACTGTCATAACACCTCCAAGATCTGTTGAAACTACCTTGCCACCACAGTGTCACAGACCTCTCCTGCCAGCCTCCTAAGTTTTCTTAGGCTAGAGAAATATCTCACTCTGACTTTTTGGCTCTGCCACTCCAAAACTTTATTTGAGGAGCTGTTTTTAGATTCTTTGAACGGGAATGTTGGGTGCATTCACCTGGGTTGTTGCCTGTTCTCTGTCATCTTGGCTGTGCTTCCTCTGCCCTTGACTTCTTTTCAACTTCTTTAGGAAGATTTTTCCAGTCTTTCCCCCCAGATTACATTCCATTTACTTTGTATATATCTTGTATGTACATAGTTATTTGCATGTTGTTTCTCCCACTTGAGCATGAGCTCCTTGAGAGGAGACACTGGGGTTTGGTTGGTTGACTCTGGGGTTGGGGTTTACTGTTGTTTTTGTTTGGTTTTACCTTTCTTTATATCTCAAGTATGGGCTAAGTACAGTGCATAGCACATAGTAAGTGTTTAATAAATGCTTGTTGACTGATGGACAGTGCCTGGCATACAGTATGTGCTTAATAAATGAAAATAGAATAGAATTCATTTACAAAAAGATTCAACAAAGGAAAAATAAACTGCCTCTAACACATTTCAAGGTAGCCTAGCCTGCTCAGGAAAGTATTCTATGATTAGCCTCAGGAAGTCGTAACTGTGTTCCTTGAGTCCTCTCCAGAAAACAAAAAGAATTCCCAAGGACTGTGTAATTTTTGCTGGAGGCTATTACCCTTTGCAGATGAAGCACTAGACATTGGGAATGTCCAGTTTCTACCTCATTGGAAAGTGCCTGAAGTTGCTTCTATTCTCCACAAACTCCTGCTGGTGAGTTCCATCTGAACAATGGGCACACTCCAGCTAAGCTAACTATGGAACCAGCCACAAACTTTGAGCCTTCCCTGCTCTGCCAACTTATCCTATCACCTCGAGGGGCATTTAAGTTAGTTAATACAGGGCAGCTAGGTGGCACAGTAGATAGAGCACCGGCCCTGGATTCAGAAGGAACTGAATTCAAATCTGGCTTCAGACACATAACACTTACTAGCTGTGTGACCCTGGGCAAGTCACTTGACCTCATTGCCTAGCCCCCCCCCCCAAAAAATTAGTTAATACAACAAATATGATATTATTGAAAGAAAAAATTCTTGAATTAATTCTTTTTTTATTCTATTGATAGCATTTGTTTTTACATCATCATCTTCATTTCCAATTTCCCTTCCCCTTTCTAAGCTATCCCTTATAACAATTTTTTTAAAAAAGGGAAAAAAGCACTTTAGAAAACTAACTAATATGAAGTTTCACAGCATACACAGTCTTCCACACCCATGACCCCCCCACACCTGTGAAAAGAAGGAGGTGGGGTATATTTTCTCAACTCTTTCCTGGAGCCAAGTTTAGACCTTGTAATTACAGTCTTAAATTTCAATTGCTTTTTGTTCTTTCTACTTACATTATTGTAACCTTTTTGAATTCTGTTTTCTCGATTATGTGTCCTTTTTTGTCTGTCCATTTACTGAAATTGGAAGTCATATCAATGCCTCTCTGAATTCTTCATGTTGAATTAATTCAAGCATAACCAGTGCAGTTAATACATTGCATTATAGATGCTGCTAGTACTGAAAAACAGGAGGATAAAGAACTATATCAGTGAAGAAATGTGAGGTTTTCTAGAGCAATCATTCCCATCTACTGAGTAGTTTAAGGGTTATAAAGCACACACTTGTCTTCCAATAACCCTATGAGATAGGTAGGTAGCGCAATTATCATCTCTATCTTACAGATGAGGAAAAGTGAGAGGCTTCAGAGATGTTTAAAGCCTTGTCAGGGCACACAAACAGGAAGTGTCAGGAGACACTTCACTTTCAATCATGCCTCTAAGTCAAGTTTTCTTTCTCTGTACTCCAAAAGAAATCCCCACAGTGAGACATGCAAATAAAGTATGATAATCTTGGATTAAAATTTCTCATGAGGCATCTCAATACAATTATAACACTAAAACTATGTTGATGTAAAATATGTTTTTTCCTCTGCTTTCCACCCTGACTTCAACACTTTAAGGATCCATGATTTTTATCTTTCAGGGGTCTCCAGAGACTCCACCCATACAGGCTGAGAGACCTCTCCACCCTAATGGACAGTCTTCACGACTTGCCCTGGGCAGGAAAGCAAAACAAATAACAAAATAAAGCAACTCATCACCTGGTGACCACCCCTCTACTTATTTATCTCCCCAAATGTGAGCCTGGCTGCCAAGCCCTTGAACTTGAATTCTTTCCATTTGGGTAGTACTTGCCAGATCCTGTACTCTGCTGATATAGCATTTCAGAGTCCAGGGTCACTGCCATACCAAAGCATAAGGATTTTCAGTGGAACAAGAGGAACCTTCCCTGGTGAAAATAAATAAATCCATAGATGAACAAACAACTTCTGGTTTCAGAAGAGGAAGTATCGTATGCATAAGGAAAAAAGTACTTAGGATATAGACTAGGTGACTGATCCAAGTTCCGTGTCTTTTCTGAATTGTAACTTGTAAATTTTGGCACTGGAATATGAAATAGACTTTGCTTCAGAAAATCATGTGCCCTGGAACTATAAGCCAATCATCTGATTGACACAAGTAAATAAATGGTTTGGAATTGGTATTTCCCCCTATTTTTTTATCTTAAAAGCCAGCTGAAGTCTATCTACAATATGTTAACATCTGGATGTAATTACACAAGATAACCAGTACAGAAAACATTGATTTAAAAGTTTACTTATTTGCCTACTTTTAATCTAGTCCAACTCAACATGCATTCATTTTTTTAAAGTTTTATTTTTTTTTCATGACTAGGCCTTTCACATCATTGATATGGGATCTCTCAATGAAGAAATTCTTTCAACTAGTGCAGAGGACACTCAGACATTAAGTGACTTGGTTAAAATCACCCAAGTAATTAAGAATCAGAGGTGAGATTTGAACCCAGGCCCTCTTCCTCCATAGTATTCTTTCCAGCTCCCTCACTTCATTTCACGTTTTCCTAACTCATATTTTATTTAAGCCTTTTTACGTGTTGGAATATGTTCCCAGTATATCTCCATTGAATCCTCCCTTGTAACAAAGGAAGATTTTAACAAAACTGGATAAAACAACCACCTCTGAAAATACATCTATCATTCTGTATCCATCAGCATATACACCTGTGCCTTGCATATGGTAGACACTTAAGATAAGTTTGCTGATGACTCAACATTCCACATACATAATCCAGTGTATATATCCCAGAGATCTTTGTCAAAAAGAAAGGTCTCATATGTAACAAAATGATCATATTCACCCTCTCTGTAGTAGCCAAAAACTGGAAATGAGATATATACCTATTCTTAAATACATGAAGTACATGTATATAATGGAGTATTAGTGCACCTTAAGAAACAATGAATAGGAAGACGCTGGAGGATCATGGGAAGACTTATATGACCCAAAGCTGAGTGAAAAGAATAGAACCGAGAAAAAAATTTTGCACAACGGCTACACTACTATAACCAGAAATACTTTCACTTTATGGAAGAAGAAAGGGAGGCTGAATAACTTACCCAAGTTCACAAAGCAAGAGTGTGATAGAACTCCTGTATGCTAGTAAATGTTCTGTTTACTAAACCATATCGCCTCACTTTTTTTTAGGTGCTGGACACAGAGAAGTATAAGATATAACCCTGTCCAGAAGGAAAAGATTGATAATCCAGCCTGGAAGACTAAATTAGCAATTGGCCTCTAATTCCATGTAAGAGCTAAAAATGTGCGCAATGAAAAGAATTCAGGAAAGAAGAGGATGTGTGTGGGCTAAAAGAGCTGGAAAAGATAGGATCTGAGCTGGTCCTGAAGGATGAAGTTTCACAAAGAAAAGTGAAGCAGATGGAAAGAGGACAAGCCTGTAGCAGAAACTGTGAAGAGACCATCTGACTACAGCAGAGTTTATTTAGGGGTATGGGAAACAAGGTTCCATGGAAAAAGTGTGGTCAGATTATAATGGTGGACTCAATGCAATGATGGCTTTATGCCAGGTGTCTCAGTTTTAATACCTGCTTCTTTCATGACATGACTAATATAGAAATATGGTTTGCATGATTGCACATGTATAACCTATATAAATTGCTTCACATCTCAGGGAGGAGGGGAGGGGAGAGAATTTGGAACTCAAAATTAAAAAAAATAAATATTAAAAATTGCTCTTTGGTGTAATTGGATAAAAAATATTACTTTTTAAAATCTTGATACCTAGCCCCAATCCATTGCATTAAAGTCATCAGGTATCTGTAAAGGGTATTTTGAGCTCATTAGAGAAAGGGGAATTAGCGGGGAGTCAGAATTTGTCTCATTTTGTCACCTTTCATAGCACTAGAAACATGAAATCTCTGCAGTAACCAAATTCTTATTCTAGTGAAATGAAGAGTAACTTCTCTGTGTCCTGTAGAGCAGAGTTCGGGGCCTACCTCCCTAGCTTACTTTGTAATTAACTCATCTGTCTACATATTGTGTTCCCCAATGCAAGGTAAGATCCTAGAGGGCAGAGCCGTCCTGTGTCTTTGACCTGTGCCCACAGGTATCTGGACCATGTTGTTCAGTTGTTTTCAGTCTTGTCCAGCTCTTCATGACTTCATTTGGGGTTTTCTTGAAAGAAATGCTGGACTAGTTTGTCATTTCCTTCTCCAGCTCATTTTACAGATAAGGAAACCGAGGCAAACAAGGTTAAGTGACTTGCCCTGGATCACACAGCCAGTAAATGTCTGGGGCCAGATTTGAACTCAGAAAGATGAATTCCTGACTCTAGCTCTGGCATTCTATCCTCTGCACCACCCAGCTGCCACGCCTAGCTATATGTATCTGACACACAGTAGGGACCTTATAAATGTTGAGTTGAATTGAACTATGAGTCATGTATCCAAGGGAGGCTATTAGTGGCTAATGATAAAGTTTAGATCCTCTGACAATGAAAACCAGCCCCCACTTTGGATGTCCTTTCAATTTTCAGGGCTGAATGCAAGTCTGCTACCAACAAACACCTACTGTCACCAACCTAGTGTGCACCACTGAGAGGGCAGAAAAGATGGTGCGCCCTGGTATTCACTCCAAGATCATGCTTCCTTGGTTAACGGTTGAATTCCTAGATTCTGTAGACTAACTAGAGCTGAAAGGGTCAGCCACAAGTGAAATGTGCAATACATTCTTGTCATAGCTGTTGTCCAGAGAAGCTATCCAATAAACTGGGATGACTTCCTCATGTTCTGTTTATTTCTTGGAAATATCAGGATGCCACTCATGGTGCCCGACCATTGCCTTTTCATATAAAAAAAAAAAGGAAAATGATTCAGCAAAACCATTAATACAATGACCACATCTGACAATAAGTAGTCAGTCGGTCAACAAGCATTTATTAAGTACTCATGAGAGGCACGTGGGTGGAACAGTGGGTAGAGTGCAGATCCTGGAGTCAGGAAAATCTGAGTTCAAATCCAGCCTCAGGCACTTCCTATCTATGATCCTGGGCAAGTCACTAACCTCTATCTGCCTCAGTTTCCTCATTTGTAAAATGGGGATAATTATAGCACCTACTTTGCTAGGTTGTTGTGAGGATCAAATGAGATCATTATTTGCAAAAATGCCTAGTACATAGTAGGTACAATATAAATGTTTATTTGCTTCCCTTCAAATGAGAAATTTGTAAGACCTTTGCAAACTTCAAAGCATTATATAAATGCTAGTTGTTATTATTATTACTTGCTATGTGCCAGACATTGTGCTAAGTACTGGGACTCCAAAGAAAGACAAGAAACAGTCTGGGCCCTCAAGGAGTTCACATAGTTTCAGAGGAGACAACACCCAACCATGGACCAACAAGAAATGTGCAGGGTAGATGGAAGGTCATCTCAGACAACAGGCACCAGCGGTGGAGAAGATCAGGAAAAGCCTCCTGCCAAAGGTGAGATTGAGGAACAGCTAGGTGGCGCAGTGGATAGAGCACCAGCCCTAGAGTCAGGAGAACCTGAGTTCAAATCCAGCCTCAGACACTTGACACTTAACTAGCTGTGTGACCCTGGGGAAGTCACTTAACCCCATTGCCTAACAAAACAAACAAACAAACAAACAAAAACCCCACTAAATCTTGAAATAAACCAGGGAGCAGAGGTGAGGAGGGAGGACATTTCAAGCCTGGGGGACACAGCATCATGTGTGAGGGATAGCAAGAAGTCCAGTGTCCCTGGACTATAGAGTACACGAAAGGGAGGAAAGTAACTAGGAAGACAGAAACCGGCAAAGTTGTGACGGGTTATAAATGCCAAACAAAACATTTAATATTTGATGCTTGGGTTAACAGGGAGCCCCTGGAGTTTACAGGAGGTATCCAACTTCCCACTCTCAGGAGAGAGCTGTGTTTCATTATCTGTTCTCTGGGACCATCACTGGCTTCCTCTTTAGCGATTTGTTCATTTACAATGCTGTACTCATTGTGTAGAGTACTCTTTTTGGTTCTGCTTATTTCAGTTCATTCAAAATCTCATGTTTCTTTGAATTTCTCACATTTGTCATTTTAAAAATAGTATTAGCTAACATTAATATAGCACCTACTATGTGCCAAGTGCTTTTACAAATATTATTTGATCCTCGCAACAACTCTGGGCAGTAAGGGCCATTATTATCCCCATTTTACAGTTAAGGAATCTGAGGCAAACAGAAGTGAAATGACTTGCCCAGGGTCACACAGCTACTAAGAATCTGTCTTATTTGAACTCAGGTCTTCCTGACTCCAGGCCTAGCATTCTTTCCACTGTATCACCCAATTGTCTTCTTAGTACACAATAATAATATATACAGTTACATTAATATGCCACATTTTTTTCAATAATTCCAAACTGAAAGCATCCATTTTGTTTTCAGTTCTTTACTGCTGAGAAAGAGAGAGAGAGAGAGAAAGAGAGAGAGAGAGAGAGAGAGAGTGAGGGAGGGAGAGAGGGAGGAAGAGAGAGAGACTCTTCTGGTATATGTCATTGTTCAGTCACTTTTCAGTCATGTCCACTCATTTAGAGTTTTCTTGGCAAAGATACTGGAGTGGTTGGCCATTTCCTTCTCCAGTTCATTTTATAGATGAAGAAACTGAGGTAAACCACATTAAGTGACTTGCCCAAGGTCACACAGCTAGGAAATGTCTGAGGCTGGATTTGAACTCAAGAAGATAAGTCTTCCTCACTCTAGGGTCAGTACTCTATGCACTATAGCACCCCCCAGCCGCCCCTTTTGGTATATATCAGACTTGTTTGGGCTTCTGGAGGTATCTGCTCAGTAGTAATGTCAATGGATCAAACGGTATGAGCTTATCAGCCACTTTTCTTGCATAGTAATGAGGTGTTTTACAGTCCTCAGGTCCAACACAACTCGTATGTTATCATCTGCAAAAAGGAATATCTGGATATATAACTATCAACCAGGAATCCTTCTTTCTTTCACTTCGATGTTTGCAGGCTGGCTACCAGGACGCTGGTGAGATATGAAAAAAAAACCTCTGCTTCATAAGCAAGAACGATGAATGGCAAAATTGAAAGCAATGCATAGCTTTTTATGGGAAAGTGCTTTGTAGTCCAGGACCTGCCTACGCTGCTTCTCATTCTCATGTTCATAGGGTAGTTTTAGTAGCTTAGAACTGCACTAAGACTTTTGGGACACCCTGTTTCTGTTATCACGAGAAACACAGCAGAATGTGTGTACACATAAAAACATAGCCCAGAGTATTTGGCTTTCTGAGTATTTCTTTAAGAGAAATTTTCATTTTTCATGTTTAAGTGAAGGCTAAAAAACCTTATGGTTCTGGAGAAAACATTTAGGTAACTCTTTCCTTAGTTTATCAAATCATAGAGGACAGGATGTACCTAGGAAGCATCCTGGGAATACACATGACTAACGAAAGATTCTAAGTGGGAGATAGTTCCCCAGGCAAAGTAATTATAGATGCTTTTTCATTAGGAAGCTGAGATTTTTGCTGGCCTTGAAAGGTGGAAAATAGATTTGAATGTGTCCAATGGGGTATCATACGGGCCTGTTTATATCACCTAGATCTTCTACTCTCCCAACGTTTATCAGAAAGCAGCCCATAGACTTCATTTTTATGGGGGAAAAATGTTTTTAAAGTTCTCAGGGACAAAGTGGCCTTGTTACCCACCCCTCTTCCCCAAAACTTTTGTTTAGGCTTTCAAAATGCAGATGAAAAAAACAGAAGGGCTAGACTTCTATATTAACACAATTATACATCAACAATTGCACCTATGGCCTTAAAGTAGGACACAAAGAAACAGCAGAGAATCAACTGAGACCATGGATGTGAAAGAGCTTTTTAAACCGAAAGGCCCTATGCAATGTAAAAAATCTTCAAAATATAGGAGAGTGAGCTTGACTTTCATTGCTGGAAAAATTCTAGCATGTGTTTGGAAGGGGGCAAGGTAATTGAGATTAAGTAAAATGACTTGCCCAGCGTCACTAGAATGTATTTTGTGTGTGAGAGGCAATTGGGGTTAAGTGACTTGCCCAGAATCCAAAGCTAGTGAGCGTTATGTGTCTGAGGGCAGGTTTGAACTCAGGTCCTCCTGACTCCAGGGCTGGTGCTCTATCCACTGCACCACCTAGCTGCCCCCTAGAATATATTTTTAAAGGAATGGTTTGGAGGTATTTGGAGAGTCCTGAATAATAACAATTGTGAGGATGAAATAAACCAATAGAAACCATATCGAAACATGCTTTAGACAAATCATTTTGAGCTTTTTTTGGTTTAACTGACATGTTTAAACCCACCCACAGTATTTTTGCTAATTTGCCAATGAGCTTTGATTGAGTATCTTTTTCTCAAATACTTTGCAGAGAAACATAATTCACTCATCCCTCTTCCGAACCTCTTATTTCCATCCAAGGCACCACAATTCTGTAAAGTCACCCACACTGGCAACCTAAGTCATCCGTGACCCTTCACTCTCCACACACACACACACACACACACACACACACACACACACACACACACACACACACACGTATATCCAATCAGCCGTAAGTTTTGTCCATTCCGCCTCTACAACAGGGCAGCTAGGAGGCGCCATAGTGCATAGA